GTGAATCAATGGAAAAGCTGCAAATAAAAGGTGGTGGAATTAAAACCTTTACAAAAACTAGATGGTCTACTGTCTTTGATATATGTGAGACAATATTAAGATTACGTTCTGCTTTTGAAGATGTAAGAATTAATTCTTTGTTTTACATGACAATTCAAATATTGTAAAAAGCTCTTGGGATGTTGAATATCAGGAAATTTTTTCTGGTGTGAATTTGCATAATTATTACACTACTTACAATTACAATTACCATGTACCATATACTATATACAAAATTAAGTTATTCCGTCAAACAAAAAATTTGCTTTTTCAATTTTTGGTTCAAAGGTGCGTTTCACGATTTTATGCTAGGTTTCTTTATTATTTTGATAATAATATATAATAATACTCTATAACTTTTATTCTATATTTTTTTAATGCAATAGAAAGTGTCGGCAATGCCGGTAAGTCAAATATACCGAAAAAAATTTAAATTGATTAAGAATGAACTATTACTATGGCAACTTGTATTTAATTTGCTGCGACATTTGGTTGCACAATTCAACCTGGTAAATGTATGGAGTTACATGTTATGGTTATTATCATTGTCATTATCAATATCATTAATCTCTATGATAATGTCTCCATAAGATTCTGTTTGGGCCACTTTAATCAGATTCTTTGTTGCAAGACCTATATATATTTATATAGAAACAAAAATATTGATTAATATAAGTAATATGATGGATGATAATTACAACACGCATATGCAATAATTCATACTCAGGATATGATAAAATGATCGTGTAACTTGGGATTGTTTCATATTATGAGCGTCAATTATATCTTGGTAAATGGCACTAGTAACTTTTGCCTCATACATTAGTGATTTAACCGATTCCATGAACGCCATTGATTCATGTTCTTGATTTAGATTTGAATCATTTTCCATAACAATACCACTTCCAACACTACTCCCAATACTTCTATTTCTTGACGAATAATATCTTCCTTGATAATATTCTGATGCTAAACTACCATTACCCTCATCGCCTCCATAATTATCTAAAAAACATCATCACTATCGTCACTATTATTAATAATCGAACAAGAAAAAAGCAAAAATAAATATTAATCTACCATCAACTATTGGAAAATCCGATAATTGACCGCTATTACTTTTTGATAAATCCAATAATGCTCGATTAAATCCAATCGAATTTCTTTGGTTTCTATTGTCAACACTTTTTTTTTGAAAATTTATTATTAAAGTTAATAATAATAATAATAATAATAATAATAATAGCAATAATGTCACTGTTTGCTATTGTTATTGAATATTTTATTTACCTTTCGACTACTCCTGATAAATCAAAAAAATCGCTACCACTAGCACTACCACCATAATTAAATCCTCCCAAAAAATCATTATCAAAAAACCGATCTAATAATATATATTGAAATCAATTATTATGTCAATTATAAGTGATTAATAAAATAATTACCGCTGCTGTCATGAGATCTATTCAAACTACTATCTCTACTCCTTCTAAGCCCAGATGATAATGATACATTTGTTGAACTTTCTCCTCTCCTCAACACTTCTGATTCAACATCTTGTAAACTGCTTGTTCTATCATGCTTTTATTGCCAGGACAATAGAAAATCATTTCGTTAAAACTATCAACTAATCAATAAAAATCAAACCCCGTTATACAGAACTTACTTCTTTGTTAATTTCAGGAATGTTAGTAGTAAAAGATAGGCTAATTGGTTCTTGCAAATAAATATCATTACCTTGAAAATATATCAAAATTCATTTTTATTATTTAATAATGTCGTATAAATATATTAATATGTAAATATAAATAATATGATCGCGTACTAGATAGCATTGGCGGTGGATGGGTTGTTCTTTGTCTGACGATATCATCTATTAAACCAAAAGAAAATAAATTTACAATCCATTGCATTAAATTTATAAATTATATATAAATACACATGCTAATGTGTGTATATATTAGACCTTGTAGCATTGGTGCACAATGATTCTCCCATAAAGTTACCAATGGTCTTGCTCTCACTATTATAAAATGTTTTCAATCAATAAATTGTTTGTGATTTTTTTATATGTTATTTTTATTATCAACTTAACGTGGTAATCCAGATGTATATAATATATTATTCCATTGATCTTTATATTTTTGGCTAACATTCTTTTATTTTGTATTTATAAACATATCCATCATATATTTATTATTTATCAAATTTAAACCATAAATAATTCTTTTTAAAAAAAAATTTGTCCAAACCTTTTCTCTTGCTTTTTGTTCAGCAATATCCAAATCAACAACAACGCTTTCGCGCATTTGAAGAATTTGTTCATTTGTTAATTCTGCTGGTTCATCGTACATATTTTGTAGCCTACGTCTACGACGACGTCTCGGTTGTGTCGAGACGGATGACCTTCTATTATTTTCTTCTTCATCAATAACTCGTGGTTCAATTACTACTTCCATCTCATCCTGTCCAATCCTTTGTTCATCTTGCCCTTGTTGCTCGTATACTTCCTATTTATCATGTATATGTCATAATTAACTGATTAATTGATTAAAAGCTAAAAGACAACTAACCACAGTATTTTGGAAATCATGATGATTTTCAACACCATCATGAATTTGAAGTTCAGTTCTACGCCTTTTGTGGTCTCTTGATTGATCGACATTATTATGTTCGTCTCTAACTCTATGCTCAATCTCTTTGATAGTATCAGAATTCAAACCATCAGTTATTCCCTCCTCATCAACTACTACGCCACTTCTTTCCATTCCTCCTCCGCCAACACCACTACCTTCAATGTCGGGCACAAGTTCATGTAAATTACCATTTTCGTCGAAATTAATTGTTATACTAATCAATTTTTATTAATTTTATTGTTATTATTAAAACACGATGATAATAATATCGAAATGCGTTAATATGTGAGTGTATATATATACCCATTATTATCTTCTATTCTTAATAAATCATCATCGTTAAGACTAAAACCAAATCCACCACCAAATCCAGTTGACAACGACTGAGTAAATTCACCATCACCTGAACTGAAAATCTCTTCCGGGAGAGTAATTAAAGAACGCCGTGATCTATTATTATCATTTTTTCGATTATTCGTCAAAACTAGCAAAAAAAAATATTATTATGGTATGAATATTTCACGCGATAAAGTAATAATGGTTTCTTTTCACTTTGATTTATTAATTGTTTAATTGGTCGATACCTTGGTTAGGAATTTCTTGTTCTGAAGATAATATCCAATCAATTTGTCTTTCGATCTCAAAAACCTTAAAAGGTTTTTTTTAAAAAAAGGAAAATAATTTGTAAACAAGCGTAAAATTTAATTTATAATATGAATATATTCTACCATATCTGTATCATTCGATTTATTTATTAACATTTCGATTTCGAAATAGGGATCATCTCGCAGCGTTATTGCTTCTTGTCTATTAAATTTGTCTATTAAATTTAACGTGTTATAAAGCGTATTTATGATTTTTATTGATTAATTGATTACCTTGCCTCTGATGTTGACATGTCGACGGATTCATTACGAAATTCGGACAAAGCTTTTTGAAATTTTAGCCATAAATTATTTGTATCCACTAAAAAAATAAATTCTTATTTAAGTATTTTTTTTTTTTAATTTTGGTGAAATAATCTCATTTTTTTTTTACCGTAATAAAATTGGTACTGTTGTTGATATAAACGTGTAATTCCATACAATAAATTAGAAGATAATCGAAGTGCTAGTGGTTCCGGTGGTGAACTTAGATAGCCACTAGAATAATAATAAATAAATTCATATATTGATATTGAATATATAGATATGTATGAAGAGAATGTATTTCATGTGATCAGATCAATAGATAAAATGTTTACCAAGCTTTAACCAAATTAACTGAATTAATTTCTTTCCTTGAAAGTTTACGAAGATGAGAACGTGATCCTAACGTGGAAGCTAACCTAATTATTTAGACGATAATGAACATGGAAAAGAAAAATTGGAGCTCGATTGTTTATTTATTTATTAAACTCCATGTACAAACCAAATTATTCCAAATCCACATTTTTTTTTTTGTTAATATTTCTTTTGAATAAAACATTTTCTATAAAAGGTAAAAAATAAATAAATTAATAAATTATAACTTATATTAGTACAAGAAATGATTTACATATGATAATACCGTAAATCAAAATTTTTTAAAAAAAACAATTTGATATTTTCTTCAAAATGAAATTATTAAATCAATCATCAGTATTATTTTCAACGATACTTTTAATTTTAATATTATTAATTTCAATAAAAATATTGTATTCGATTTTGGAATCATATTTACCAAAAGACAGGTAACAATACGAGCGAATGAAGAAGAAGATGGTGATGATGAAATATTGTTAATCTATAATCATAATCATAATCATAATCATAATCATAATAATTACTAATTATTTTGATTAGTTTGACCTTGCCAAAAGATCTAAAAGATGTTAAGCACCTCTATGAAGTGTTAAACAATTGTGAAAGTATTGACATATTGATTTGTTATGTAACGACTTATATATTGTAAGTAAGATAGGTAATAGACAATTATTATATAACAATAAATATAAACATAATTTATATATAATTTACAACATATAATATATATGTATATAGTTTGCAATCCTTTGCAATACCAGGAAGTGTGATGTTGAGTGTTTTAGGTGGAAGCTTATGGGGAAGTTGGAAGGCTTTAGTGATTGTTTGTTTTGTGAGCAAATTTTATTTATTTATTTATATGATCATTCTCTAAACACTAATTAATCAATTATGAATAAAATAATAATATTATTATTGATTGAAAAAAAGTGTTCAGCAACAGGAGCAACAATTTGTTATTTATTATCTTATTACTTCGGTAAAAACATCACTGAAAAATATTGGAAGGAACGTATGATTAATTGGAATCAGCAAGTAACTAATTACTATTATTGTTATATTATAATAATAATAATATAATATATTACTTGAATACTTATATACTATCTCAAAATCCTTCTTATAGTTAAATGAGCATAGAAATAATTTGTTTTCTTATATATTATTTTTGAGAGTAACTCCATTTCTACCAAATTGGTTCATCAATATTGCATGTCCGCATTTAAGAGTTGGTGTTGGTAAATTGTATTGGGGAACATTCCTTGGTAATTATCAATAGGAAGGATATTTATTATTGTTATAAAAATAATTACTAAGATGGGCTGATTTCTGTAGGTGTCGCTCCACTTTCTTTTATCCATGTCCAGGCGGGAGAAACTATACATGAAATGTCAGAAGCTGAGAACTTTACATTTCTAACAATTCAAAATATAACCACAATCATATTAATCAGCATTACTGCATTAATACCAATTGTGTTAAAATCCAAGTTCGCCAATTGATTGATTGGTTGTGATTTATATATGATTTTTTATTACATCTTCTACAACCATGTGAGCACGACATACCAAATCAAAGTCATGTCGATTTAGAAAATCGTGGATTATTGCTTTTCCGAAGCAATAACTGACACCACGTTCATTATCCTCCCAATCAATTGCTGTTTCTGAAGGATCTGACCAAAGTAGGTCATTCAATAAACCGTAATCCGGTATTTCTGTTGGCCGTCTAATACCTCGTATTTCATCCATCGACGATAGGTCAGGCGATAGTCCTCCATGCACGCAAAATATTTTGTTTGCTACAACGGCTGCAATCGGAAGGCAATTAAATACATCTACAAACGTCTTCCATGTTTTAATGTTTGATCGTCGTTTACATTCATCGTAAAATCCATATACTTGTAAATAAACAATAAACAATAAATA